AGTTCTTCATGTATACCAGTAGCCTGATACAATATGTACAGTTTGAAAGGGTGTTGAATGAAATGTGGTGATGATTAATGGTTTTTGTGTTAATGTAATAGCAGTTAAAACAGGACCGGTCAAATTTGACCGCGAACACCAAAGTAAGGGGGAAACGAAGACAATAGGGAGGGTTACCAGCAAATCACGACTTAAGTTGCACTCTTTGTAAGAAAAAGCAGCCGTTAATATATTGATGTCTATTCCCATATGGATACTGCAGTAAATAAGACTCTCGTATCAGTTGGATTTTGAGCAAAATATGGTAGCAGTTAATAAATACAAAAACAAATAAGTGAAGAAGTGTAATTTCCCCCCCAAAAAAGCATTGGAAAGACGTTGCGACACACCTCAATATACTCAAAATGTTATGTAAATAAAGCAAGCTGACAGCTATTATGTATATAAATAGTTATTTTCATTAGTCTGAGATATTTTGTAGCAGCCGACTGTTACAAAATGTAATTACAAACAGCTCCTCATCACCTCTCTGTTCCTCGACAATCATTTCCTCAACCTCTATTATCTTCACGGTCAACTGTATATTTTGTACCTTTTAATGCTGTTTTATTTCTATTTGAGATGTTTACATTTCTAAATTGTTTATTTCTACTATCTTAATTTCTACTTATGTACAAGGCTTTGTTGTTTATGCTGTTGCAGCGCAAATACATCCCAATTTGGGGATCAGACATAGAATCTTGGAGGATAGATGTTTTGCTCTCAGAAAATAAATGAAAAATGATACAGGGCGGACTTTAAATAAACTGCTTCCTCTATTTGCTAGATATTCTTTTAAAACATTTTCTATTTCTTTAATGGTGTACTTTGTAATTGTTTTCTTACGCTCGCTGATGGTTCCCGCCCCGCAGGTCTCCGTCAGGCCGTAGCCCTGACCCACCGGGCAGCAGAAACACACGTTCATGAAGCGCTGCGTGACGGCGGATAGCGGCGCTCCACCGGATAACAAGACCCGTATCCGACCTCCCAGCAGAGAGCGAACTTTCCTGAACACCAGCCTGGATGGGAGGAAACGGGGGGGGGGGAAAGTACACACATCCTTTACTCAAGTAGAAGTACAGATACTCGTGTTTAAAAATACTCTGGTAAAAGTAGAAGTACTGACTAAACTTCTTTACTCAAGTCAAAGTAAAGGCTTTGAAGTGTACTTCAGTAAAAAGTACCCATAACTAGCAGCTGTTTTAAAGAGTACCTGACCTCCCTTTATATTAATAGAACAATAATGTCATTGTTAGCTAATGAATGTTTCCATGCTGAACAACGGCAACATGACAACGTTTCCATTGGTCCTCTTCTTTAGAGAAGACCAGGAAATGATGGATACACGGATCGTGTTCAAAATCAATAGGCACGCAATGACTCTAAAGAATAATGATCACGCATCAAACACACATTCAGACTAAAGGAACCAGCTGTTTGGAAAATGAGAGAAGTAGAAAGTGCAGGTATTTGTGTTCAACATGTAAGAAGTAGAAAGTACAGGTATTTGTGTTCAACATGTAAGAAGTAGAAAGTACAGGTATTTGTGTTCAACATGAAAGAAGTAGAAAGTACAGGTATTTGAGTTCAACATGTAGAGTAAGTAGAAGTACAGGTATTTGTGTTCAACATGTAAGAAGTAGAAAGTACAGTATTGGGTTCAACATGTAAGAAGTAGAAGTACAGGTATTTGGGTTCAACATGTAAGAAGTAGAAAGTACAGGTATTTGTGTCAACATGTAAGAAGAAGAAAGTACAGGTATTTGGTTTCAAACATGTAAGAAGTAGAAAGTACAGGTATTTGTGTTCAACATGTAAGAAGTAGAAAGTACAGGTATTTGAGTTCAACATGTGAGAAGTAGAAAGTACAGGTATTTGAGTTCAACATGTGAGAAGTAGAAAGTACAGGTATTTGAGTTCAACATGTAAGAAGTAGAAAGTACAGGTATTTGGGTTCAACATGTGAGAAGTAGAAAGTACAGGTATTTGTGTTCAACATGTAAGAAGTAGAAAGTACAGGTATTTATGTTCAACATGTAAGAAGTAGAAAGTACAGGTATTTGAGTTCAACATGTAAGACGTAGAAAGTACAGGTATTTGTGTTCAACATGTAAGAAGTAGAAAGTACAGGTATTGTGTTCAACATGTAAGAAGTAGAAAGTACAGGTATTTGGGTTCAACATGTAAGAAGTAGAAAGTACAGGTATTGGGTTCAACATGTAAGAAGTAGAAAGTACAGGTATTTGTGTTCAACATGTAAGAAGTAGAAAGTACAGGTATTTGTGTTCAACATGTAAGAAGTAGAAAGTAAAAAGTCGTCAGAAAAAGAAGTAGTGGAGTAAAGTACTGATACCAGAAACATGTACTTAAGTACAGAAACAAAGTATTTGTACTCCACTTCTTCCACCTCTGTGAACCAGAGAATACAGCGAGGAGGTTCTTCACCTCTGGTCTAAATGCC